GTGCACACTGAGAAGGTGAATGAGACTGGGCGTGGTGGCACAGGCCTGAAATCTCAGCACTTGGAAGGCTGAAAACAGGAGGATCACTACGAGTCCTATCTGTGTGGTGAGACCCTGTAGATCCCATACTAAATACATGAGAAAATAATAATAAAATAAAAAATAAAAATAACTTGATTTTTTAAAATTTATGCATTTTGTACAGGGTCTCATCACACAACTCAAGACTTGTAGTGATCTTTCTGTTTTCAGCATCCAAGGTGCTGGAATTACAGGCATGTGCCACCACACCCAGAATCTGTCACAGGCTCTGTGTGCCTATGGGTGGGGCTGGCACAGCCTGCAGTTCCAGGAATAAAACCCCAGTCCCTGCGCTTGCCTTAGCAGGTGCTTAGTCCACTAAGCTATCTTATCAGCCCAAAAAACAACTATAGAGGGGCCGGGGAGATGGCTCAGTGGAATAAGCACTTCCCTGGCAAGCGCAAGGGCCTGAGTTCAATCCCTGGTTCTGCCAAAAAAAAAAAAAAAAAAAAAAAACCTATAGATGATAGACTTACTATGTAATTTCTGGGCATACAATTCAAGTTAAAACTGAGTCCTTATAGATTAAACAACAAAGAAGAGAGAAAGGAGAAAAGACAGGAAAAAAGGTAGGGGTCTAAAACATGCAAGTATATATACAGGATGGTTGAGGTGATTGTACTCAGAATTTCCATCAGGTTTTTGAAAATAGCAGTTAATGTGTAGAATTCTCACCCTGACTAACTCTGTATGCTGTTATCTGCGAACTAAACAACTACATTGAGGACAGCAATGTGTAATACAAAACCATGCTTGAAAATACCTGTCATCTTGGTCTTCTAAATGTGTACTGTTACTAATATCATATCAATTATTACTACACTCTCTTTAAAATAAATTTTGTAGAAAAGGTAATAAAAGAAAAAGAGACATGAACAAAAATTTAAGATTTCTTGAAAGCATGCAGTAATATTCAATCATATGTCCAATCTTGCATAACTATATATGTTAATCTGAGCAACAGATTTGACGATAAAAATAATGTATCAGTCATTGCTAATCAGCTATTCTTGTTTTGAAAATCTGTAACATATGTATTGTTGTATGTTACCCTATTTCTGTCTTTGTTGTTTTTCTTGCGTTTTTTACTCTTCAAAATTAAAGAAAATTGGGGCCAGGGAGATGGCTCAGTGGAATAAGTGCTTGCCTGGCAAGCACAAGGGCCTGAGTTCAATCCCTGGTTCCTCAAAAAAAAAAGAAAAAAAAAAATTAAAGAAAATTATAATAAAAAAACTGAGTCATTGTAGCAATAAAACTCCTTCCCTTTTTGTCTACATAATAACATTTATAAGGTTTTACACATATAAAAACTAGAAAAGGAAAGTAACATTTATCACATTAAAAATACTTATGTGCAATAATTATTAAAATTTGTAATATATTTGTAATGTTGCTTTGAACAAATGTAGATAATAATTGGTGATAATTTCAACCCCCAAAAGAAAATGATTAATATCTTAGTACTTCTTAGTGACAGAAAACAAATTCAATTTACATATAGATGTAGCAGATAGTCATTAAAACATAAAAATATAAAAGTATGTCATCTTAAAATATACTTCAATAGGAAAGATATAAATTGCCTATTGTAGAATTGCTTCTCTCTCTCTCTTTTTTTTTTTTTTTGGTGGAACTGGGGATTGAACTCAGGCCCTTGCGCTTGCCAGGGAAGCGCTTATTCCACTGAGCCATCTCCCCGGCCCAGAATTGCTTCATTTTAAAAATGCTCAAAAAAGAAAAAAAAAAATGCTCGCTGGGCGTGGAGGTACACATCTGTGATCCTAGCATTCTGGTGGTTGAGGCAGGAGGATCACATCCAAGTTTGAGGACAGCCTGAGCTCCATAGTGAGTTCAAGGCCAGCATGAAGTACACAAGGAGACCCTACTTCAACAAAAATTCTGAGTATCAGACTGCCTTTTACTTATATTAACTGGACATATTTAGTGGAAATGTTAGGCAGGAGGTTAATATATTAGTAGGCCTGAAATAAGGGGAACACATGCAGTGTGTGTTTGTGTGTTCAAATTTGTTACCAGTTAAGGAGCTGCCAATTAAGTAAAGAAACAAGGACTTCAATGTATAATACATTTATAATCATTTGGCAGGATTCAGACCTAAATCAATCCCATACAGCCCAATGACATTTTAAGTGTATACATTGTACTGGTCCTTTAGCTACTTGGCTACCTGGATCCTACAGTATTCCAGGTTGCCATAGTCTATGGCCCAATGATACCAGTAAATGAAATGTTTTTTTGAAGATTGTCTAGCCTTGGACTGGGACACAGTTTAAGAATTTATCTTTCATATATTTCTTACATGATTAAGACTCTTGACAAAACACTGGTTATCTAAAAAAAGGATGGGAAGCCACTTCCTAAGTACTAAGTAACTTATAAATGAGGTATCAACAAGTATCATAATTATTCTAGTTCTCTGAACCTCAGGAGTAATTTTGTGTGCATAAAAGGCATCCAAACTGGAAATGGTGTAGATGCCTCTGGCACTGCACTGGCCTTTCTCACTTGAAGGTGTAACTCTATCTACCTTACGACAAATTCTACTTATACTTCTGTACCATCTACGTGTCTTGATTAAATTCTTTCACCAAGGGCACAAAAATCCTAGGACCAGGGAAGTGAGGGGCCATTTCTTTGCTATGTCAGGACCTGGCTTCCTGGTAACAAACATTTAGCAGTTTTATTTTAAAATATGAATACTTACACTAGACATGGTATGTTTTACTAGTAAATGTTTGCAGTACATAATGATCAAATTCCTGTGGGGAGCTGGTATGTGTATGTGACACATCTCAATTCTTATTTTCACTTCCTTCCATTTCTCAGTCTCTTTCCCATATGCAAAAGATCTTCCTATTTCTTATTATCTATCTTTTGTTTTGCTCTTTATTTGTACTTTGTGTAGAAATGATATAATTTGAAATTATTTAAACTTCAGATAAAAAATTAGAGGGAGAGCAGAAAGGGTAGGGAGGAGGGACGAAAGGATAGAAATGATTAAGATATGCAGTATTCCATGTACCAATCCCCTGAAACAAATTTAACTGTGATGTGTTGCCAACATATACTAATAAAAATAAATTTGGCTGTGAATGTAAAGGTATCCAAGAGGTAATATATTTTTAAAATTATTTGAAGGGGCACATGAGTAAAAAAAAAAAAATGCCTAAAGACCACATATCTAAATTTCTGCTTTTTCAGGTTTGCCTTTTTAGACTTGGAATGTTCATAGAATTGAGAAATTCACAGTCAGCTTCTTAGCGATCATATCAATACAGGTATGGATTATGTTCTAAAATAGTCATTCAAAAATACAGTACTCATTTTTACCTAAAATGAGAGAAGAGTGAAATGGAAGAGTGACAGGTTCAGATAATTGAGTATCAAAACAGCTGCTGATTTATCAAGTCTTTATAAATAATTATAAAGTTATTAAACTTTCTAAATTTGTGATGCGGACTGAAACTGAATGATGGCATTCCTCAGCAAAGTTAAAATTAGAGGAGCTTTGGAGATGTGTTTCCTTCACTGAGGTTTTGGTTAAGTCATATCACTTAACAAGAGTGCTTACATGGTGGTAAAATTATCGGATTTATTTATTTAAATGTATTTGGTACGGGATCTCACTCTGCAGCTCAGACTCATAGTGATCCTCTTATTTTCAAGCCTCCCCAGTGCAGAGATTACAGGTGTGCACCACCATGCCCAGACTCGGTGGCCAGTTCAGCATGCCCATGGGAGGGGCTGGCATGGCCTACAGTGCCAGGGATCAAACCCTGGTCCCTGCACTTGCCTAAGCAGGTGCTTATTCTGCTGAGCTATCTCGCCAGCCCTGGCTACATTTATTAACACTATCTAACTGCAGAATCTACTGCAAAAATGGGAGTATGTTATAATGTGATCTGCTGGAGCACATCCATTCTAAGGCATACTAAAGTATGCCCTGATCTAGCATGACGATCAAACACACTCTATTTTTCTCCTTTATTTTCCATGGTGCTGGGGATTGAGCCCAGGATCTTGCACCAGATAGGCAAGTACTTTACTGCTGAGCTACATCTTCAGCCCAAATACACTTCAGCTAAGCAGCAGTATTATAACACTGGCTAAAACTCCCGAAATTACACCCTCTCAATTAAAAAAAAAAAAAAATCACTGAAAAAAATTTACCAACTATTTAAAAATAACTATAATAATTTCAATTAGTAACACTTCACTACCTACAAATGAGAAAGTGCAGCTGCAAAGGTGTGGGCCACAGTACTGCATTATTGATTCAGACAAAGAAGGAATGTATTTTAGTAAAAGGAAGTGAGATTGTTGATTGACAGTTCTTGGAAAAAGGTTAAAAATTCAAAAGGAGTGACTACATGTGGTTCAGAACTTAAAAGCTTTTTTCTCTTCCCAACAAAAGAGCAATGGCAAGTAATAGCAGGTTGCCATGGAGATGAGAAACTAGAGGGATGAAAGAACTCAATTTACAGTTAAATGGGCTGGAAATGATTCTTACTACTTGGTGAAAAAAAGCGATTAAAAATATACTTGATTTCCAGAGGGAATCTTTTCTACCTAGCCACTTCCCAACCTCATAATGAATAGAAACCTAAAACACACCAAGTGAAAACTGAAGACATCCATAAATTGAAATCATTAGAAGTAATTCAGGATTTAAAACATTATCACAATCCTTCCTGATCTGAGTGACTGGTTTTGAATGAAACTTGTTAGTAAATAATTCCATGAGGCTAAAATTGTGTTGCAGAACACATATGTTGAGAGGACTAGTACTTCAGTGGAAAAAAAGAGCACAGCAAATGGAAAAATAACCACAGTAAGAAACAATTTGAGTATAATCTAGGTATTGAAAAAAAACCTCTTCACAGTCAATCACTGAATACCTTTGTGAGTACTGTAGAGGGCTGCAAACGTCACCGTGAAGAAAGTTGTGGAGTATTTGCCAGCATTAACTAAGTGAGGAAAGGCCCTTTTTGTGTCTCGGTATCTGCGCAGGCACTGGATGAAGCGAAGCCAAGCAGGAATGCACTGAACAATGGCTCGCACACCATATGAGTATTTGTGGCAAATTTCTGGTTCTGTGATGATTTCAAAGAAGAAAAAAAGCATAATTAAGAAAAAGTCTGTTCATATTATTTAGCCATACAGAACAACCACCAATAAGAAACAAAAGGACTGTGTTTCAGAATCATGTTTTCTTGGCAATTATTATATTCTCCAAGGTTTTTTTTTTTTTTTTTTTTGTGGTACCAGGTATTTAACTCAAGACCTTGCGCTTGCCAGGCAAGCACCTATTCCACGGAGCTATCTCCCTGGCCCCTCAAGCTTTTTACTGGTGTATAAATCAAGAAGAAAAGGTAAAATCTATAAAGATGACTGATGGGAAAATCTGACTTCTCAGATTTCTGGGTATCTATCCTAGAAGCAATTTTTAACAAATATGATAAAACTATATAATGAATTAGAAAATGAATATGATAATCAAAGGGGGAGGGGATGTTCTGTTGCATAATTTGAAATACCTGGAAAATCTACAAATATCATAGGTGACTCTCAAACTTCAAACTACTATAACACAATATACCAAAGAGTATGTGCTTATCCCTCATTCTGGGCATGGAACCCAGGGCCTTTCACTGAGCTACACCCCCAGACCCTTTTTTAATTTTTTGAAATAGGGTCTTGCTAAGTTGCCCAGGCTGGGCTGAAACTTGTAATGATCTTTCTGTAAGGATTTTTTTTTTTCTGGTAGTACTGGGGATTGAACTCAGGACCTTGTACTTGCCAGGCAAACACTTATTCCACTGAGCTATCCTCCAGCCCTGTAATGATCTTTCTGCCTCAGCCTCGCATGACTGCTAGGATTATAGGAATGTGCTACCATGCCCAGCTGTCCTTTGTTGTTATTTTAAGATCAAGCAAAGATTTTGTGTTTTTAAGTAAGAATGAAGTTAGAAAAATCAATTTTTCTTTGAATGCTAGCTGTATATTATAGTGTCATCAATCTGCAACAGAATTATGATCCACTGGTAATCACTAAAAATGTACCACATAGACTTCATCCTTAATTTCTGTTAGATGTGACAATCTATTTAAATTAGATCTTTGTCATGCAAGTAAATCCCTTATTAATTTAAACTCCTGCTTCCCACCCTCCAAAAAAATATTAAGGGAAAAAACAAAAAGAAAAATCATTTTTCTTATTTTCCAAATTAAACAGCAATCTACCATGACTTTCTTCAAGCACTCAATCTCATCACCCATAAACATCTAATACTGCTGTGGTGGCAAACCTATGGCATGTGTGCTGCCGCTGGCTGTCTGCTATCACTGAAAGCTCTAAAAGGTTAACAATCACTGCCTTGAGCAACACTGTGATGAGTGTATGTTGGCACTACAGTGTCTATAATATACTACCAATGTACTGAACTTAAAAATATAGTTTTAGAATTCTTTAATGTTATAAATCTCTTGGCAAATGGCTCGCTAAAGTCATAAAACAATTTAAAAGTCAAATTATTTCAGATAAAGAGACTTTAAGAACAGAGTGCCAAATATATTTAGTTAATCTGTAAAATTATTGGATAAGTTTTTACCATAACCTTAACTTTCTCAGATATTTCCAGTATTTCCTGGTTTATACTGGCATCTTAGTAATGTGAATGCAAATTCATACCCTACCTTCTGGATCATTTGGCAACAGGCCCTTACTTTCATCCCATTTGAGCTCAAAACTGTAGAAACAGATCATATATTCCAAGTCCATTAGTATCACTGACAGGCTGTTTAGCTGATCGGCCAGCCAGAAATCAGCAAAGCCTACTTTATGGAAGGGAGCTGTAAATACTCGAAACTGAGAGAAAGAAAGAAAAAGAAAAAAAAAAAAAATCAGAAAACTCACAAATAAGAAAAGTCATATTAAATTTCTGTAATTCACATTTGACCATTTAGTATGACTGATTAGCTGGCACAATGGAAACCAATGAACACATCACAAACACAAGGTCCAGACAACAGTGGCTGCGTTAACTACTTGGGAAGGAAATTAAAGAGGGAAGGTGAATGAGGGGAGAAATGGCTAGTTAAAAAACAGAAAGCAAAGAGTTAGGAAAAGTTGAAGTCAAATGTTTGAAGTCAGAAAGCAGCCACACAGAAGTATCCAAAGAAAGTAACATTTCCTGCACAGCGGAGTGTTGTGATCATTTCTAGAATGTTGTTCTATCTTAGCAAACTGAATACAAATCTCCTTGCCTGCAAAAGATAGGTAAGAAAGGATGATACACCATCTGAGGCATACTTTATTTTTTAGTTTTTTTGCAGAACCAGGAATTGAACTCAGGCCCTTGCATTTGCCAGGGAAGTACTTATTCCACTGAGCCATCTCCCCAGTCCTCTGAGGCATGCTTTATTCTCTATCCAAAGTGACTTTGATTTCACTAATGTCATGGTAATGATTGTGTTCATCCTGAAATTACCAATATTAGTTCTCCTCACTCTGTTCTGAAAGCAATAATAAATGTGTTGAAGTTAAAGGTACAAACACCAATTAATGCTCTGTATTTACTAGAGGTTGGGTTTGCTTTTACCCATTCATGACAAGGTTGTAATTCATATATGTTGCTGCCAGTTGGCTCTGAACTTTTGGCAGTACATACATGATGGTGTCCTTGGGTAGAATGGGACAGACAGTCCCATCATGTGGTACAGCCACCCAATGGGACACTCATGCACATACCATCAGCAGTTCAAGCACACAGGAATGTGTTAACTCAATTCTCATAATAACTCTGAAGGCTAGGTACTATTCATATTCCCATTTTACTGAAAAGTTACAACTCAATCTGACTTACTCTGTGGAAGCCTCTCTACCAGTGCAAAGGGAAATCCTGACATGGTAGAAAATGGAAAGATTAGACTAATGCAATCACCAGAAATAAGTTCAAATTGTGCAGACTGCTTTGAACGCCAATATGAAGAGAAGATAGGATGAAGGTAGTTTTAATCCTTGTCTTCTCAGACCCTTTCTATCTTATTCTACAGAAGAAAATGGACTCTGGAAACAAGGAAGTCTAACTGTGCATAATTTGAGAAAATCAGTTTAAATGTCTTGCTCCTTATCTATCTAGCTTATTCATTTAGAAGACAAATTCAACCCAGGAATCTACTGCACTCTCCTATCAGACTCAGCTGCTTCTTTATATTCTTCCTCTAATATTTTACATTATTTTAGAGAAATAAATGGCTATATTATTAATCAATCCTGTGCATAAACTATGACAGACACTATCTTGGAGCTTTGGAAGCAAGATCAGGTGTCTATAGGATAAAATGAAGGTTTTGAGACATTTTCTGGAGCTCATATATTTTGGTTCCATAACCAAATTATTTTATTAATACCTTGACTCCACTAGTGAGTCCAGTACACCAAAAAGAAAAGGTTACAACCAATTACAACTATCTGTAAGCATCATACTCAGCAAACTTTTTTGGGGTCAGGGGTAGAGGAAGGGTGTATGTTAGTTATCTACGCATGAAGAGGTTCTGGTGCCTGTTTCTGTGTATTTTGAGAAACCAGGGTACATAACAGACTGGAAGAATTCAAAGAGACATAGACACGTAGAAAATTTTCCATTTAATACTGAAGAATCAGGAAATCTAATTCAATCTCTACTAGTCATAGATTTTTGGAAATTTGGTAGCATATGGCAAAATTCTTTCTAGCTAATATGAGACAGATTTCCTTAACTCTTACAATCTTTTAAACCCATCCTCAAAGCCTAACTAATAGAGCATCCATAAGAGTAGCAGCAACAGAATACAATGCACTAAATAAAAACAAAAGGATGGAGAGGTGCAATAGGAAAAGATCATCATTAAAAAAAAAAAGCTGGAAGGCAGGGAAAATTTATAGAAACAGAAGATGAACAGAAAGGCAGGACTACCACATGTTGGTATAATATAATGAAAGAAAAACAATTACAGGTATTTACACATTTAACAAAGATCTATTATATTTAAGGCACCGTGCAGGTACAGATATAAATAAAAGTCTGTCCTCAGAGATCTCAAAGCTGGACAAATACCTAGAGATACAGTTATAGTATCATATGGTAACTGCTACTATAAAGATACATTTAAGGGCCAGTGAGATAGCGCAGCAGACTAAAGTGCCTGCTTAGGCAAGCTTAGGCAAGTGCAGGGACCGCGATTTGATCCCTGGCACCACATGCCATTCCAGCCCCTCCCCCAGGGCGGGCTGAGCTGGCCACAGAGTCCAGGTGTGGTGGCACACATCTATAATCCCAACACTGGGGATGCTGAAAGCAGGAGGATCACAAGCCTGAGCTGCAGAGACCCTGCAACAACCCAAAACCTTTAAAAAAATTTTTTTTAAACACTCTGGAAGTATAGAGAACAAGTAGCTCTGTCAGAGGTAAGGTAAGAGAAAAACAGATCACAATCACTGACATTTACATAAAAAGTGATTTTAGATTTATCTGAATTCTTTTAAGTACAAATCTTGTAACTACCCCTCATTCTTTTCTTATTCTAAAGCCACTCAAATTCTCTACTTTTACTTTAGGGATTTTGATTATAATGATTTAAAAAAAGACTCTTGGAACAGTACTATGGAAGCTAGAGCAACTTTGAATATCTAATGTCTTAACCCCTATATTACAAATACCACTAAAGTTATTGCAAAATAAATATTCCTTACGTAAAATGCTTCAGGTCCAGAAATATTTTAGATTTTGGAATATTTTTATATATAGCATGAGACAGCTTGAACACAGGGCCCAACTCTAAATATAAATTTCACTTAGGTTTCATATAAACCTTATACAAATAGTCTGAAGATAATTGTATACAATTTTTTTTGTTTGTTTGTTTTGTAGAACCGGGGATTGAACTCAGGCCCTTGCTCTTGCCAGGGAAGTGCTTATTCTACTGAGCCATCTTCCCAGCCTCCTAAACTAATAAATTGCCCAGCTTGGGCTCAAACTTACTTACTTACTTTCTTTCTTTCTTTCTTTCTTTCTTTCTTTCTTTCTTTTTTTTTTTTTCGGAACCGGGGATTGAACTCATGCCCCTGCGCTTGCCAGGGAAGCACTTATTCCACTGAGCCATCTCCCCAGCCCCATATACAATATTTTTGGTATCCTTGTATTCTGATTGTGACCTGTCATACTGAGGTCAAGTGTGGAATTTTCTGCTAGTAGTATAATGTCAGTGTTTCAAAGGTTTTGGATTTTGAAGCATTTTGTATTTTCCAAGTAAGGATGTTTAACTGTGCAATGGATGCATTAATATGATCTTCTAAGTTAATACTGACAAAAAGCTAAAAAGCTAAGTTTTGTTTTCTTTTTTGCCATGGGACTGAACCCAAGGCCTCCTCATTGACCTACATCTTCAGTCCTCTTTAAACATTTAAAAATTCTCAAACAGTGTTGCTAAGTTGCCCAGGCTGAGGAACTTGAACTTGTTGTGATCCTACCTCCCTATTATTCATCTTGTACTGTGCTCTTTATGATTTGAATATCTCATATAAAATAAACAAACTACACAATATTTCAGCTTGTATGTTAGATTTACTTAATACATTCATGTTGGGGGTATAATTCATATGTCTCACTGCTGGGCAGCTCTGAGACACTGGTGGTATATGCATGACTGTCTTACTGGGCCACATACAACAGTACCATTCATTGTTTGTTACCATGGTAAAGTCATGCAGGAACTGCTAGTGGTTCAAGCTTTTGGAAATATGTTAAAAGTCTCAAGGTACACCCATTTTCCTACAAATAACTCAAAATTGTCCTTTGTAAGAGTACTACCCCCTGTGTACAAATTCTTTACTCGTCAGTTGATAAACATAAGCCACTTCTAAGATCTAGCTGGTAATAGCTGTGGTTCTATAACAGGTATACAGGTATTTCTGTAATACAATTCTCTTTAACTCTTTCAAGCAGATACCAAGAAAGGGAATAGCTGGGTCAAATGGAATTTCTATCTTTGGTTTTTTGAGGAATCTCTATATTGATCTCCACAGAGAAAACCAGGGCTTTGCACATACTAGGCAAGTGCTCTATCACTGAAGAACAGCCCACCTCCTCTCAACCTTTTTTTGGCAAATGGTCTCAGTTGCTCAGATGTTTTGTTTAGAAAATCTGAGGTACTGCCTGTTTTCTAATTGGATTTTTTCAAGCACAAGGTCCTGAGTTCAAGTCTCAATACAACAAAAACAAAAAACACTCTAACTGGATTTCTTACTGGGACAAATACTAAAGAGTTAAGAAAAAAGGACATATGATCTAATGGATAATAAGTTATACTAAATTTGACCTATAATGTTAACATTATCAAGTAAATCATTATCTTAGCTTTTTTTCAGCTTTTCAAAAAGGAAAGATGAGTAGCATATATCAACTCCACAGAGTCCAGTATAAATACGAATACAAAAGATACCCACTGGCTATCATTGTGACCAAATAACATGTTTATCCCACCAAAAAATGGAAAAGAAAGTTTTATTTTAGGCAAAGGCTTTAACAAGTGGTTTCTGACAAATGCAAAGTGAGTGAAAACATTCTTGTTAATTCAATAGAAATGAATCAAAAGGAAAGTTTTATCAGTGAGATTTGAATTACAGTAAGTCGATGGTTAGTCAACTGTATTAAATGACATATATGACATTCTTGTTTATTATTACAAATATAATCACAATTCTGCTTTCCATATTTTACTGCTTTGGACAATATAGTTCATTCCTCTATTATTCTTAAATATTATTGTCACTCCATCAACAAATTCTCATTTATTAACAAACATAGAACAGATACACAGATAAATGACTACTCAATGGGGAATCCTTTTGCTAACAAGAGTGACTGGTCAAGCATGAACCACAGCTTGCTATTCAAACAAAGAAAGATGCATGGCGGAAATGCTCACTTAGCACACAATGTACACAACTATATTATCTTGTTTTTCAATGATGCAACTGTAGAAACACCTGAGTTTTTTTGTCTTCTAAAATCTCATTTGAAAATACTTTCATATGATTTCACAGGAAACAGTAGGAGTTTTTAAATACATAGTGTTTTACATATATTTTTTGGTGACCAGAAGAATGCTAGTCTTCTATGCAAATAATAGTTTAAAAATTCTACAGTCGTAATAAAATGACATAATTTCCAATAAGAAAATTTAATTTTAACTGGAAATGACTTTTTTTTTAACTAGAAGTCTCAAGAGATCAACTACTCAAATTTTTCTTTTTTTGCTCATCTCATTTTATTCATTCATTTATTTTTTGAGACAGGATCTTACTATGTAATTCAGACTAGTCCTAAACTCATTATGTAGCCCAGGCTGGCCTAGAACTCATGGTTTAGCTTCCAGGGTGTTGGGATTACAGGTGTGTGCCACTGTATTTGGCTCAAATTTTTGTCTTCAAAAACAAAAATATGAACAACCTTTCTTTAAAAAAGCATGTTCCTGGCTGGTGAGGTGGCTCAGTAGAATAAGCGCTTCCCTGGCAAGCACAAGGGTCTGAGTTCAATCCCTGGTTCCGCAAAAAAAAAAAGCATGTTCCTTAGGTGAAGGCAGAAGGTTCTGAAAGTGATGGTGTCCTTAATACTGATCAAAATACTCTTGTATATGTAAGTTCTACACTCATAAATCAAATCCAAAAGTTAAGCCTAGTGGTGGTGTGTGTAAACTTTTGCCCCCCTCTCCCCATTAATTGGAGGAAAGAGAATAACAATTTACACCAAAACTCTTGGCATAACGTGAAGGTCTCACAAGAACCACAAAATTCAAAACTTTATCAACTTTTAAAAAGAAAATTCAAGAGTATTCAAGCCATTTTTATTTTCCTTACTGATGTAAAAATTTATAGTGATACCTCAGTTGTCAACTGGCTCCAAGCTTGAACTTTCTACTATTCAAACAGCAAAGTTCAAAAGTTAGGAACACACTTTGTGTTTCTAACTTTCTTCAATACTCAAACCAAAAATCCAACTTGGAAAAAAATTGTCAATCAAGAATGAATCACACAGGGGCTGGAGAGATGGCTCAGTGGTCTAAAGCACCTACTTGAAACAAGCTTGGCAAAGCACAGGGACCGCGGTTCGATCCCCCAGCACCACATGCCAGCCAGCCCCGCCCCCTGGTGGGCTGAGATGGCCACACACACATACGATAAATAAATGTAATAAATAAATAAAAAATAAAATAAAATTTATTAAAAAAAAAAAAAAGAATGAATCACACAGACACAAAGGGGTGACACTTCAGTTTAATTGCCACTCTTGCCCAGATAACATAGTGCTTGTGTATGTTAAGACATTTGTCACTATGCTTTTATTGTTGCTTTATTTGTATAAAATATTGTAACCACAACTCCAAAGAAAGTTTGTGATACCAAGAGTAAGGCTTTGAGAAAACTGTGAGAACTAAAGAAAGAAATAATTGTGAATTTGTTAATGTCCTGGACAAATGAACTTATAAGTATAATTTTTGGGCCTCAGAATGAATTACTTGGTTTTTCATTATTTTTATGGGAAAAATATGTCCAGTTTTTGTTTTGTGTTCAAACACAAATTTGGAATAAAATGAGTTCAACAACTGAGGTATCATTGTATCTACCTTCCTAAAAAATAAAAATAAGAAGAAAAGTAATATCTTATGTCTTCAAACTAAAAAAAAAAAAAAAATCCAACACACATCGTTAAGAACAACAAAAACTCTGCTGACCCCTCCCAGGGGACATATAAAAGGTAAAAGAAAAAACTGTATTTCTCAAGAAGTTACACATTATTTAATGGCAAAAAGAACAAAGTAAATAATGATGGAAATCTAAGAAATAATTATATAATACTATTCTATTTTTTACTTTTTAGCAGTACTGGTGATTGATTATACCCAAGCCGGCTCTACATGCTAGGCAAGGTCTCTATCACTGACCTATCTCTTTAGCTTCCCCTTTTATTTTGGGACATGGTCTCACTAAGTTGTCCAGGCTATTCCTGAACCTGCAATCTCCCACCTCAGCCTCCCGAGAAGCTGGCACTACTAGCATGTGCCACTATGTCTGGGTAATATCAAATATCTTTAACTGAATGTCAAAATAGATGTAGCCTAATTTAGGAGTAAGAAGAAAACCTCTTCTTTATAAGATCAAAAAATGTAACTATCATTTCTGTAGGAATGCTATGTCCTACTGTTGAGACTGATTACTTTTTTTTAATGTATTTAGTACAGGGTCTACAGGGTCTCACTACACAGATCGGACTCCCAGTGTTCCTCTCTGTTTTTCAGCCTCCCAGTACTGGGATTATAGGCATGTGCCACCACACCCAGTCTCAATCCCGTCTCAGAGGGTTGGCATGGCAGGCCCAGATCAAACCCCAGGCCCTGCATCTGCCTAAGCAGGCAGCTTTAATTTGCTGAGCTATCTGGCTGGCCCTAGAGAGACTGATTACTTTTGAGATTAAGAAATGGGTAAAATGGAATAAGAAATAGAATTCAATAATCAAAGTTTCTCAAATTGAACTTGGTGATTTGGCAATATATTCCTACCAGTTTTAGGGAAACAATCTTTCCTAAATGGTAATGTACTAAGGTCTATGTTACCACAACTGTATAATGAAAACCAAATGGTTAAAATCTGCAAAATCATTTTAGTATCTGGCCAGTTTATACTACATTTTAGGAGGGAAAGAGATGCATGAGTGCTTTTCCCAGTAGTACTACACTATGTAACTTTCAGGACTATTAGTCACATGCTTTCTCTGCCCCTGATGTTGGAGTACTACTCACACAGACACAATGTAAATGGTACAACCCAGCACCCCTGATTTTACCTTGAAGAAGCCAATGACTAAAATTCTACTCTAAAAATGATACACAAGTTTCTGGACTTACCAGCAATTTAAGCAGCCAAAACCGAGATTTATAATAGAAAGTCTTGGTGGGGTTGATAAGAAAAAAAGCCATGAATCCATAAAGGACAAGTGGGTATACATATGTGGGAATGATACTAATTGGAGCAAAGAAGCAAGCTAGAAGGCTCAGGCACCACAATATTCCCAGGAATCCTGCAATCTAGTAAGAGAAAAAGAAGACAAAACAAGATTATTATGTTTTTACCATTAGTCAGAAATACTTTAATAAATTAAGGTTAAAAAATTATTTTTTCTTTCAGAACCAGGGATTGAACTCAGGCCTTGCACTTGCCATAGAAGAGTAATTAATATTTAAGTCAAGAATCTTTTTTAAGTAGAAGATGGACTTCGGTACTCAATAAACCAGCTATATAGCTACTTCATGGGAATTTATGTCTTGCTTTACCTCAAAGAGATGCTGATGAGACAAATTGCTTCTCGGATTAAGTTCAAAGATGAGTACATGATTTACTCCAGCCTGTCTCCAGCCATATGTGTTGATGCCCAGCAGAAAAAGGAATTCAATCAGAAGAAAACCACCCCGATAGATTCTTATCAAGGGCCATATACTTCTATTTGATTCAAGTTTAAATACAGCTGAAAGAATATTAATTTACAGGTTAGTTATAAAACCCATAATGTCTCATTTAATTATTTTTCATTCTCAAAAGACAGCCCTGGATATCTTAAGTGTGTCAAGAAGATGAAATACAAACAACATATATCAAATGCCTAAATGAGTGTCTAAGCCATTAAAGGTACTCAATATATATTAGTTTGTTCTACTTGAAAAAGACTTCATATATTCAACAAATGCTTATTAGATGTCCATTATACCCAATACTACTGTAAAAACTGGAGACTTAGTAATGAATAGAGAAGGGCACTATGATTGGAATGGACAAGAGATAAGAATGGATGAGTTGGCCAGAAGCAAAGTAGACAGAGCTTTGCTTAAAATTTAAGCTTTTACTCTGATGTACAAGCCAGTGGAATACGTAAGTGACATGACCTGAATAATGACTCAAAAGAAATGGAAAGTTGATCCTTAAATTCACATGGGACCACAAAATGTCCCAAATGGTCAAAACAGTTATAAAAGAGAACATACTTGTAGGACTCATACTGTGTGTGCAGTAATGATGTTGATGGTGGTGGTACTGGCAATAGAATCCATGGCCTTTACACTGAGAAACATCCACAGCTCTTTTTTTAATCTTTGATTAAAAGTCAGAATCTTGATAAGTTGCCCAAACTGGGCTGAACCAGTGGTCTTTCAGCCTCAACTGCCTATAATGCTGGGATTATAGGCATGTGCCATCATGTCTAATCAGTATATTTTACAGTTTTAAAACCTGGTCCAATGTCACCATAACCATAAAAGCATAAAAACAGACATAGGTAAATGGAATAAGACAAAAAGTTCAAAAATATGCATCTACAGTGAGTTTATTTTCAACAAGCATGCCAAGACTATTTAGTAAGAAAGCTATATTCTCTTCAAAACAGTGCTGGGACAACTAAATGTCCATACACAAAAAGTTTAAGTTGGATCTGTAATCTCACATGGTATGAAAAAAATCAATGCAAAACTGATTGATGACATTAATACATGAAACTAAAACCATTAAAACTCCTAGAAAAAAACAGAAGTATAAATCTTCACAATCTTCGATTTGGCAGTGTATAGTTAGTTATGCACCAGAAGTATATACAACGAGAACAACAAAAATAACTGACCTTTAAGAAAATTAACAGCTTTTATAGACTGAATCAATACAGTAAAAAAAAAATCTACAGAATAGAATAAAATTTGTAAACCATGTATCTGATTAGAGTCTTATATAAGATTATATACAAATCCTTACAACTTAATCAAAAGACAATCCAATTAAAACAAGCAAAAGCCAAGTATGGTCATGTATGCCTGTAATCCCACTACTTTATCCTCCTGAAGAAGGAGGATCTTAGGTTTTAATTCAGCCTGAGCAACTTAGCAAGACTTTATCTCAAAACAAACAAAAAACATCAAAGCAATGATAAGCAAATGATTTGTATAAAGTACATTTGTCTGAAGTACTTGTACAAAACACCAACTCCACAAAAAGTTGCTCAAGTGATTAGTTATTAGGAAAATGCAAATGAAAACACCCACTTACTTAGCTGTATATAATTTTAAAATGATGTGGAAAATTCCAAGTGTTGGAGAGAATGCACAGAAAACAGAATCCTCATAAAATTGCTGTTGGAACTGGAAATGGTATAACAGCAGTAGAAAACAATTTGGTGGTTTTTCGGACAGTTACACATGTACTCAAACAAATCCATGTAAATACATGTTCACAGCAGCATCATTCACAATAATAAAAAAATAGAAACAACCCAAATGGTCATTAACAGATGAACAGATATGCAAAGTATGGCATATATATCATAAAAATACTGAAGTATGACATATGCTACAACATGGATGAACTCTGAAAACATGAAAAGCCACATATAAAATGTTATGGTTCCAGTTACATGAAATATCCAGAATAAGTAAATCCATCGGGGCAGAAAGCAGATTGGAATAGCCATAGCTAGAGAGAAGGAAATATGGTGATACAGTTGCATTACTGGGTGATGAAAATTTTTATGTAGAGATTGTACAACAATATGAATGTATAAAATGTCACTGAATTATTCACTTTAAAATGGTTAATTGTTATACAAACTTCACCTCATTTAAAAATAATTGCAGGAGAAAAATAACAAATACATCAAGACAATATTAACTCCATTGTTAGGCACATGCTTTGAACTGTTTTACTAGTAGTAATAGATCACAATTCACAATTTCTTAATTCTGTCCTATTAACATCTGTGGTCAGGTAAAATGAAAGCTAAATAGTCTGGTTAGGGATCAAATCTTTTATCAGTCTAGCAGCATTAATCTTCTGCTCTACATATAAACAAATAGCCATGGAGAGGATTTCTGGTAGCACTGCGCCATTGTTGCCAATTCTTTCCTGCTCCCCAAGGTCCAGTCAGTGGGGTGATTAGGCTGTCAGTCTCCAAGCCAGGACTTGTCTCTTATTTAGCTCTGGGGAGCAATTGGCAGTCATGAATGAAGTAGAGGAGAACAACACTGAGGGCAAGAAGTCTCACTCTCAGTCAGAATCTCCAAACGGAACTCCCCATGGTCTGTCATGGATTTCCAAACACTCTGAATCCCATTTTTGATCAAGATCCAAATCCTGGTTGAGATCAAGGAGCCACTCTCATGGACATTACATTTGGGGCAGATATCACTCTGGCTCTCATGGAAGATGCTTTTGAAGTAGGTGATAGATACCAGAATACTGGCAATAAAGGAGCTGAAGTCACTCACCAACCTCTGACCAGAGAAGACATACAGGAAATAAATCCAGATCTCAATACTTGTCTTGGAGTACTTAGCCTCAGTTTGTACAGATCTTTGTGAAGTATTTTCTTGATACAGACCACTGAAAGGTGTCAATGTGGCTTATAATTGGTGAACTGGGTGGTTTTGAGGATTTACTTTCATGTATTTTGAGGTAATAGATGACTCAAAAGAGGCTATGCAAAAGAGCAAATGGAATGGAGCTAGATGGTAGAAGAATTCACGTATATCATTCTATCACTAAGAGAAAGTACACACCCAGACTAGAAATCTACATCAGCACACCAACTCATAGTGGTGGCGGCAATGGTGGAGATAGAGGTGGTGGCAGACTTCAATGTTCTTACTAAGATAGAAGATATGATAGTGAGTAAGACAGATATGAAGACTATAATTACTGGTAAAGATCACCTTCTTACTATAGCAGATTCCTACAGCCCAAGATGCTACTGACAACAGAACGATTGCACTTAAGGACTTCTTTCATATTTTTCCTTTTTTCTTTTTAAATTCGGATTTCCCCAAGCTTCTCATCCTTCCTACTTCTTAAAAAAATACATTTTTTTTAGCATATACATTTCTTCAGTTTATACTGCTGTTTTCCACCTCTATTATTACACATAATACACTTACAGATATAATTGCATTTGGATCAGTCTTGGTACAGGGTCTCACCACACAGCTCACATTCATAATGACCCTCCTGTTTTCAGCCTCCCTGATCCTGGGATTACAGGCGTGAGCCTGGTCTCTGTAGCTGGCTCAGTGTGCCTAGGGATTGAACCCGTCTCTATGCTTAAGCAGGCGCTTAGTCCAATGAGCAAGCTTACCAGCCCTCTAGTGTTATGCTTTGCAAGTGATTTTTTCTTTGCCTTTAGAGTGTTAACTCCCAGCTACTTGTACCAGTGAAACCTTTGGGTCACATGTTGTATTAGATGTTACATTAGAGGTTGTCTGGGGTGGCAGGGAACAGTCATATAGTTCACTGTAGGAAATTTGAAGCTTTAGAAGAAAATGATTGGATATTTCTTTCGAATAACATAATTTTTGAACTCTGAAAATTAAGCCATGTTTTAGAGATGAAAAACTTGTGGACGTCTTCAAAACATGGTTTTTTTTGGTTTTTTTTTTAGGTACTGAGGCTTGTAATCAGGACTTTGCACTTGCTGGGTGGGCGCTTATTTTACTGAGCTATCTCCCTGGCCCCAAAATATGTTGTATTTGAAATATATCTGTTACATTTTACAAACTTAAATGTGATTTTTATGTTAAAATTACTGAAGTTTAAACGTTCCCTTAATCAGTGAAGGGCAATATTTATTACCTACAGCAATGGTGCAATTGGCTATTAATTGTATTGGCACCTTGGTTAGTATGCTATTATATATTATTACAAGTCCCTAGATGATACATGTGAGGGGAAAAGTCTCTTCAAATGTGTTAATTTCTTTGGAAAAAAAAGTTGCCAATAATAGAAATATATATATTCATACAAGATATGTATGTATTTATAAAACTTGATTTTTACTTGATAGTATGAGAAATAGAAACATTCGGGCTTTTAATCAAGACTTTTAATAACCATACTCTTAAATAATATCTTTGAACTGAATAATAAAAGAGTCAGTTTTTTTAAAAAACTGGAAAACCATTATAAAAGAATAAAATGTTATTTCTGAATGAAAAATATATTTGCTAAATAATTAAGTTAAAAAAACAGCAATTGTGGTGGATTGACAACTGGTGGGCAACATGTAATACTCAGCTGAACTGAATCAGTGTGGTGCTAGGTATGGAAGGCCCACCTGAGGATTGTTGACAACATAAAAAGGAGAACTGAAGAGGAAGAAGTGGAGCTGTTGGCTCTCCTGGAAGAGCTTGTCAAACTGGCTTTCCTGTTATGAACGTGACTATTTTCATCATCAGAGTTTGGGACTTTGTTGTTACCAAGAATGGGGGCAGTTCACTTAGGGGGAGCTCTGGTTCTTTCTTTGGGGGGCGGAACTGGGGATTGAATTCAGGCCCTTGCGCTTGCCAGGAAAGTGCTTATTCTACTGAGCCATCTCCCCAGCCCCTGGTTTTTATTTTGAGCATTGCTTCCTGGCTCCTAAGGAGAAGATGGTGCACTGTTCAGTCTCCACTGTTGTGCTAGCTTTCCTGATACAAACTTGACTGTTTTCACTGTCAGAGC